ACTTATAAAAATATTGTTTTTCATTTTATTTTCCCCTGTGGAAACATATAATATAATACGTAGGCGACTATTTAAGTTTCTTCAATATGTATGTTTTAGTATTGCCCGATGCAAACCATTGTCATATTCGTGAAGTTGGACATTTTTCATGACCATTTGACTTAACAGGACGAATTTTAGTTTTGTGGTATGGCTACGACAGCAGCTTAAACATGACACTCCAAAAAGTGCACTTTTTTGAATATGCACCTAATTTCAAGTACGAAAAATATATTGTATCCAACTGATTTTGGTCTCTGGTGGACAGAGGGGTCCCGAATAATTCGTACACGGAGTATTGTGCATCAATTCGATCTTTTGGGTGGTCAAATAGTCGACTGTTTGATGGGCTTCTTTTTGCCATGTTTTGGGATTATAAGTTTCAGAGTTTTGGTCTCCATATTCCCGTGATGACTTTTGACAATCAAATGGTTGTGTACTATTCAGCATTGAAGGACCTTTCATCCTCTAAAGGCATGGTAGCAACATGACACATAACACTGTAAAATAATGAGGTCCGATTTTCCCTATCACTTCACAAACGAACAACTTTTGTTCGATTGTGTTCATGTTTGAAGACTCAGAGAGTCAACCAAGTTTTTGTTTCAGGTCCAAACTACTGGAATCATGTCTTGGCTTCTATTGCGATCGTATAGACGTGTTTTTATTATCCTATGTCAAATTGGTTATGATTTTTTGGATGTGATTAAAATCAATCGATTTTTGAGCAACTGTGGGTTGACACGTAAAGATTTATTTTTTTCATGTTGTAATTCATGGAAGAACCAAATGATTGGAGTCTCTGTGATCCTTGGGCATACCACAATTTAACTGTAAAAGAAACTTCGATCCTAACTCAATCGGCACCAGAGTTTTTCTCGATGACATCAATTTTCGAAGGACCATCGCGCAATTGATCACTGTAGCGAGCACCATGACGATGGGATTCAGTGAACCAGTTGTATACAGTGGCAAGGCATGGTACTTCCTTCCCATACCCCGACTTGAGTCGGAAGTAATACTGTTGAGCAGGCAGCTCTTTTTGAAAACTTATGAGAAATAATCTTTTTTGTAAATTTCATTTTTTTGCGAAGTTGACCTTTTCCAACTGACACCGTGGCCATACCACAAAACTAAAATTCGTCCTGTTAAGTCAAATAGTCATGAAAAATGTCCAACTTTACGAATATGACAATGGTTTGCATCGGGCAATACTAAAACATACATATTGAAGAAACTTAAATAGTCGCCCTCGTACAATTTGATTTTTATCAAGCATTTTTGAGAGAGAAAATGTAAAATTATTGCTCCTCTCATGTAAATAATATAAATTTCATAAATTAATTTTTCAACTGCTTAAAATTTCTATAATCCATAACAAATTTTTGTATTTATCTGCTTTGCTTTAAATAATTCTCTATTCTCAGTTTTACTGTTGATAAATTTACTTCTAAATCAATTAAATTTTTATCACTGTTTTGCAATTTTTTGGTATAAAATTCGTTGAATGTTGTAAGCATATAATTTATTGGCTCATATTTTGTGTAATCAGTTCTCCTAATTGGTAGATCAAATAGTGGTGTTGCTCTGGTATCATGTGCTGGATCGTAATATTTCATACTGTTTGAAACATAAGTTGACTTCAAATCTCCGTGAATAATTTTGAAAATAAAAGAGACTTGCGCCATCTTGCGTCTCTCCTCAAGAGTAATCATTTGCAGAAATAGTAGCCTCTGTTCGTATTTTGGCAGTCTAAAATCGTTCCAGGCCATTCTCCTCAGAGCATATATTAAAAATTG